CCTCCGGGCGCAGCATCGCTCACCCGGGCGGCGGAGGGGCCGGGCAGGCCCTGGGCCGGCCGGGTGCGGGTGTTGCTCGGTGCGCTTCACCCGGTGTGGCCGGTGGGGGTTTCCTCCAGAGCTCCCCCGCGTCCTTCTCGTCCCTGTTTCCCCCTCCTGTGGCTCTTCATGCCGCGCGGGGTGCCCGGTGGTTGCCGGCAGGGTCATTGCTGCTTCCCTTGGCTCCTCACGGGTGTCCCTCTTGTTCCAGCTGCTGGAACAGGCTCACTCAGGGCGGCTGTTCGGCTCGAAATCCCCTCGGTCGGGAGGGACACGACACGCTTTCACCGGCCTCGGCACCTGCGAGACAGGTGGTGTCATGCGGAGACTTGCCGCGGTGGTTGCTGCCTTTAGTCCTGCTTTCATTCTCTCTTTGTGGTGAGGTGTCGCCGCTTGAATGCAACGCCTGAGCCGTTTGTCTGCAGGGTAACCCATGCAGGTTAGAAAGCATTGCTTGGATAGCTTATATGTGCAGCTAATAGCTTTTTCGGACTGTTAACTCGTTTAGCACAAGCCTTCTGTGACATTCAAAGGTCAAAGACGTTTTAAGTAGTTAAAACTACTCAAAGCTGGGGTATACGGTGTGCCTAGTGTGCTAGCAATATTGTTAACCAATAAATAAATAGACTTTAGAAGTGTTCCCTATCAGGGAAGTATCTAAATATTTGTTTTAAGTGATGCTTTCTTTTATGGAACCTAGATTTTGGTTTTATTTCAGTCATGCTGAGTGTGTGGATGAATCACTGTATTAATCTAACTTAATGTCCTTTAGAGGTAGTATCATCTTTGTCAGCTTACAGTTATTGAGGGAACAACAATGTATATTTGATAAGGACCATTTTGCTGTAGTAAAACTGGAGACCTCGGTTCGTTCTACAACGACAGTTGGACCCCATTTTTAAGTAGCTTGCCAGTGGAATTCTTCTAAGGAGCTGCTTACTGTTTTAATCAGTGTAGGGAGATTTTTCTGAATAAAAAGCAGAACAAGAATTCAGGAAACAAGGCAGCTGAGGTAAAAAGGCAAAGTTGCTTGCTGGTTATGTTTGTTGGTGGGTTTTTTTAGTGGCTTGTGGTTTGTTTTTTTTTTTAATAGAAACTCTGCTTTGGTGTATTTCTCTAAGTATGGAAAGGCAGAGGGAGAGGTGGAAGACAAATAATTGGAAAGACTCAGATGGTTAGTTTAGCCTAAACATGACTAGTAAGCCTTTCAGTGGTACAAACCTTGATACTGCTGTGTAAGGTCTTCACCTTGGGATATATCAAGAGTACAGTGTGCTATAAAATTTCTGTGTTAGAATATCCTATACATATATCAAAACTTCAGCTACTATTGTTAAATCTGTGCACAAATTGAAAACTTTATTTGACTGTGCTTTCCTACTTCTAAGTTGTCTGTGCCACAGAACTATATAGAAAAATTGAGTAGCCTTCACTGCCTCAGCAGCGGGAAATACAAACCAAGCAAAACTACACGTATTTTTTCATTTTATAAACATGATGGTATTTGTGATAGATTAACTTTTTTTTAATGTGTTAAGGGGAAAAAAGTTAACTGTTTTCCATTTGGGGAATCATGTAGGTCATGCGTGTTGCTGATAGTGGGAAAACTGACTATGGGTTTGTCTGCATTAGTTAAAGGATCTGCCATTAACCATGGCAGGACAGGAATATGAGGAACCTAGAGCTGGAATTGGCATCTCTGCTGGCACAGTTTCATGCCTGTGTGTTTCTGCTGTCTTCATATGGAAAAGCTGGCATAGTCTATGCCTGTGGCTCCTGATATCTGCACTGCACTCTTTTTGGCAACATAGTGGGTGTCCTTACTTGCCTTTCCTTTGGTTTTTTTATATCAGTGGTGTTCTTTGCAGCAGCCTAAAGAGTAAAATTGATGTGTGCAGTTGTTTGTTGAATATTTGGACTTGTGTGATTTGAGCTGCTATGTTTTTTTGATAGCATTGAGTATCAGAAGACTGAAGATGCAAGTAATTATTATTGAGGTGACAAAAGGGGGACTAGGGCTGGAGTAACTAGTCAGGCATGTTCAGTGTTTGTGACTTCTGTTCACTTCATTTGGATGCTTGATTACTGGCACTCCAGTGGAAGTGACCAAAGAAGGTTCATCTTTACAAAAGATGGTACTAAGTAACTGAGGTTATTTCCAGTATTTTCCAGATTGATGGAACAGGTGAGTAATGATCTGAGGGCTAGAGCACCTCTTTTATGAGGACAGACTGAGGGAGTTGGGGTTGTTCAGTCTGAAAAAGAGAAGGCCCTGGGGGAACCTCATAGTGACCTTCCAGTATGGTTATTCCACACTTAATTAATTGGCAAAAGATAACTAGAATATGATGTTTAGGAAGTTATTGTAGAAAATGAGGAATGGAAAGTATTTCTATTATGAAAAAGGGGAAAAAATAAGCTGTGGAGAGACCTACTTGGTTTTGGGAAGGGCAGTCTTGTGCGGGCTGGACTAGTCTGGTTTTGCAGTTCTTACCTCTTTTCTAAGGTAATTGGATTATTTTACCATCTTGCAAAGCATATGCCGTAGTTAATTAGGATTTGTGCTCACGTTTTCAAATGAATTTAATTGACTTCTTAGAGCAGCCCTTTACTGTAAAAGGTCTTATGCACCTGGTTATGCTATTTTCATGTAGTGTTTCATTCATAAGAGTGAATATTGTGAGCACTGGTAGCAGAAATAGGCCTTAATGTAAGCAAAATGTTGTATACACCCCTCTTTTCTGTGTAAGTGTACCAGCTCAGCTCATGTTAATGTTGATACCAGGAAAAAAAGAACAGAAGTTGGGTAATGACCATCTTAATGTTGCATATGATTGGAGAATGTAGCCAAATAAATTCAGCGTGTTAAGAATCATTGGAGGTTATTCAGTGCTTCCTAAGATCATGCGATATGAGACAAACTACCTTGCATGGGGAGGATAGTGGTGGCCCAAAAACATAGTAGAGACATCAATTTGAACCCAGATGCCTTTGTGCAGTGTTACTAACTTGCTTCTGATTGTCAAAGGTATTACATGTTTTTGCCCTTAGTATGTTTGGAAGATCCATCTGAAATGAACAAGGCACAGAGTTCTTTTGCATGTTAGCATATGTATTTATATAACAGATGTGCTTACAGAAGCATTGTATTGTTTTATTTCACAGAAAGAAAAATCAATCATGTCAGCACTAAATTGGAAGCCCTTTCTCTATGGAGGTTTAGCATCAATCACTGCAGAATGTGGTAAGGTTTTCCTTTAAAACAAGCATGGTTCCATGCTATCACTGACACAATAGCATATGGTGGTCTGCAGCATAGAAAGTGTCTTTAATGCTGACTGAAGAGTTTCTTAGAACTTTGTTACAATGTCAGAACACTTCTGTCTGTAAACTCATCCTTCATGAATCTTGTTTTTATACAAACTTTGTTTTTGCATTCCATTATTTGGTGTTTGTTGGTCTGCTCCTAGACAGTGGTAATAAGTATACACAGCTTTTGTTTTGCTCAAGTAGGCAAGTTAAGTTCTAACTTGTAGTATTTCCCCTTACCTTTTCTGAGTAGCTGTCTTGTGGTTTAAATTCCCTTTTCTTGAATGTGAGTGGCTGGTTAGATTGGAACACTTAAATTCAGTTAGTATGAAACAGAATAATTGCTATAATAAGACAGTGCAGCTGATGTTTTAGTGCCTAAAGACAAACCTAAAATACCAAGACCCTTACAAAGTCTTATCTGAAATGCATATACATTAAAAGAAAGGAATTCTGTTTTTTCATAGTAGCAGAATGTGGTGGACTTGCACATGAAGCCTGTCTAATACAGTAGATACAATATAAAATTGTACTAAAACTATTTTCCTTTTCTATTTTCTCATATGAATCTTGTTCAAACTTGAGTTTGAAAACTTCTCTTATTTGACTTGAATGAATATGGCAAATAATGCTAAAAGCTTTGTGAGTAAGACAATTAAAAAAATCCTTGCTTGTCTTGTAAACCTTGTTAGAACAGATGTAGTTGATCCTGACTCCTCTGAATGTTTAAGCAAGTATTCACTGTTGAGGTGGTCCCTTTCCTAAAGATGAGCTCTGGAGGAATATGCTTTATAAACCCTCTTGTAAAACCAAATATGAAGAGTATGAACTTGACATAGCAGTAGGCTGTGGGAAAGCAATAACAGAAATGGGTACTGCTGCTAATGCTTTTTTAGATTCTGGGCTAGAACCTGTACAGTTTATGCTATGGAGTTTATTTATTTTTAATTAAATGCTCTTCAAAGATGCTGGTAGAATACACACACAAACTCCTTACTTGGTTTTGATTGCGGAGTCTTGCTTAGTGTGGATGTTCACAACCAGGCAGTACTGTGTTGCCTGAAAATATAGTGAATGCAAAACATAAATGTAGGAAGTAGTAGGGCCTCTAAGGAGCTTGTAGAAGAAACAAGGTGACATAAAATGAACTATTCATTTAAAAGAAGGTCTTGGTAAGAAAGACTTTTTCCTCATGGGAGTATTTTAATATATTTTGGTATATGACAAATGTTGCAATTTCTTATATCATGTTCTTTGTTGTCTTTGGTTAGGTGAGTACTTGATACATTTTCTTTTGGTTTTTTTTGTGTTTTTTTTAAGGCACTTTCCCCATTGATCTGACCAAAACACGTCTGCAGGTTCAAGGTCAAGTTAATGATGCCAAGTACAGCGAGATCCGCTACCGTGGAATGTTTCATGCACTAGTCAGAATATGCAGAGAAGAAGGATTAAAAGCCTTATACTCTGGGTAAAATGAACTGACTTGCAGTAATGGCTTATGAACAGTCTACACATAGTATAAGCCTATAGTGTGAATTCTTTGGTTTCAAAATTCCAAGTTTTTTGGTTAGCCTCAATCTGGAAGTTGAAAGCCCAGGCTTGGATTGCTTCAATCTTTGCACTCTGTAGTAGTATTTCATGTTTAGAAAAAACAACAAACAAAAAAAAAGCCAAAACAACAAACCCTCTTGAAAAAACATAGCTAAAAATAAAGTTATTTTCTGCAATGTTGCTCTGGTTGTTCTGTCTCAGAAGAAAAAATTTAACCTTTGTGTATAATGGGCATGCTTTTCTTTAAAACATAGAAGGTAGTGGGGGAAAGATACATTCTGCAGGTTAAGTTTCAGACATGCTTGCCAGCTATTTCATATTTCATAGATCACACGTTGAGGCATGCTCCAGTAGTAATCCTTCCTCAGTTCATTTATGTGCTTGCAGGATTTATTAAAACAAACCTCACAAAACCAACAAACAACAAAGCAAACCCAAACCTTATTTTGTCTATAGTGAGTTTAAATTGTTGTTGTAAGTGAACAAGCATTGCCCTTGTAGATATCTTGTGTTCAGTCTCTCTTGCTCTAAAAAATATTTGCTAATCAATCTTTTGCAGTTTTGACCATAAATATTATCACTGCCTATTTTTACAGAATTGCACCAGCACTGCTACGCCAAGCTTCATATGGAACTATAAAAATAGGCACTTATCAGAGCTTAAAAAAGATGCTTGTTGAGAATCCAGAAGGTGAGTTTTTTCAATTTAATTGAGGACTGTTTTATTTCCATTTGGCATCTTATAGTAATGGTTTGAACAAGTCTACTGAGAAGACATTTGTTGTACCAATTACAACCAAGTGAGTCAGCAAGGAAAACTTGTCAGAGCAGTTTTTAAGGCTTCTGTAATTGACACACTGCTTAGAGGAGGGGTGGCATAATCCTGCCTTGATGTATCTTAAGTTTTGTAAATCTGCAGCTAAGTTTTTGTCTTTGTTTATGGAACAGATGAAACCCTGATGATAAATATTCTATGTGGTGTTTTTTCGGGAGTAATCTCATCATCTATTGCCAATCCTACAGATGTCTTAAAGGTAACTGTATTATGTAGAGCTTGTTGTTAGTTTTTGTCCTTTGCTTGAGAAATGCAGGATCTAATGATAAATACAGAATTTGTTTTGTGGCCTTAACTTTTAAAAATTGTTAACATGCAGAATTCTTGGAACCTCTTTTGGGTCTATTCTGAGTATTTGGAAGTGTGCCCCAGGAAACTGATAACTGCGGAGCTTGTTGGATCCATGTAACTTTCTGGGGGTGGGATAGAATAATTTAAGGTGACTTCAGCTTTCATGCTGTAGTGTTTGTGTGGAAGTGACACTGTGTTTCATTTGTACTTCTCAGTAACGCTGTAACACTAGGATATTTCTAGAGTGAAGATCGATTCAGAAGCAAGCGTTTCTCTTAGTGCCTCTTTCTGTATGATCCCTTAATTCTGTAGAGAGGCTTTGCAATTCAGTGTCCCATGGAAATAGTGTTCTAGCATCAATCATTTAAAGGGAATTGGTGAAACCATCCCCTATTTGAGAATTTGTTAGCTAAAGAATGGTCAAAGACTTCTTTTCCTGTTACTTAGAAGGGTTGATGGTAACTTAGAGAACTGTAGCGTGTGACTTACATGGCTGTCTCTAATGTGAATTTCAAGAAATTTTTTCTTCTAAAGCTACAAAAAACTTCAGTCTTTCATAGGGCTAGTGTGGTTACATAGAGGTGTTTAAAACACTCTTCCAAGTGTGGCTTCAATTAGTTATTTCCCAAGATTATGTCCACGTCCCAACTTACTTGTCACCAAACTCGTATTTGGTAGTTACCATGGTAGTTTTCAAGTAAATGCTTAGAAGTCCACAGGGTCAAAGATCATGGTACTCTCTGGTTGCAACTGTAATCTTTCTAATCTTTCATTTTAGCATGTTGGTGAGAACACTGTAAAGGACATCCTGCAGAACCCATCTGTCAGTCTAATCTCAATGGAGTAGTGTGCAAGTACAGAAATAGAAGTGACTTAATGCTGCTAAGAACTATACCACAGACTTGTTCAAAATTAGTAGCTGCATTTGGATAGTTAAGGCACCTTCAAAAAATCACATCATGGTTGTGATAATGTCAGCTATTGATTTGTACTCAAAGAGAAATTTACTACTTAAAAAATGGTAACTTAAAATGTTAATAAAAAAACTGTATTAAACTATTATTGCTTGTATATTTGAAGAGTATTTATTTGAAGAGTATTTATTTTCTGATTTTATCTTCAAATGAATTTCAGATCAGAATGCAAGCTCAAGGTAGTATGATTCAAGGAGGAATGATGGGCAACTTCATGCAGATCTACAAAAAGGAAGGCACTAAAGGATTATGGAAGGCAAGTTTTTTGAACTATATCCTACACTTTCAGGACATTTTCTTGCTCAGATGAGTTTCAAGTACTTCTACAGTATTCTCAGCCAGAATATGAAGAAGTCAGTAGCTAAGATGTAGTTTTTTCATGACTGCTTCACTGCTGGTGTCTCAGTGCATTTTGACAAAGGCTTACTGCCTATGTTGAAAGATTAGTTATGTCTTAAAGGAAGATGTCTTAAATTAGGTTGACTGGCTCTAGGACTAGTTCAGTGACCTTCTATGTGCTCTTTTTAAAACAGACTAAAGAACATTTGGAAGTAAAGGTACTAATAAACATCCCCTCTAGCTCTGAAATTATTGTACAGTCTTGTAGATTGTCGTTTATACCCATCACAGTCAGTGGCTGTATAACAACTGAGGACCAAGAACAGACAGTTGTTCTGAAACAGCTGGAAAATAGAAATGTTTTTCTATTAGTGTTTTTTTTTCCTCTGTGAAGCTTCTTGATCTCCATTTTTCTGTTCATCTTCCTTCCTTTATTGGTTTTTCAGTTGGCAGCAAGAAGAGCTAGGATCACCTGGCTGTTGAGTTCTTAGTTGGCTGTTAATGTAGAAATGCAGATGTTAAGGAGAGATGAAATAGATGAAGGAACTGAGATTGCTGTTCAATGTGTAAAAGTGATTTCTCTATTAATTTGAATTCACATTTTTTGAGCACATCTAAGACTTGTACTAATTAGATTTATTTGAATTAACAATGTTCTTTACATATTTGTGGTGTGTTGCTTTGTATTATAAAAGTTAGGCTTTTCTGATGCTGTGCAAAGATAAATTTTAAACTTCAAGTACATCCTTTTTTTTTTTGCCAGGGTGTATCATTGACAGCACAGAGAGCTGCAATTGTTGTTGGAGTGGAACTGTCAGTGTATGACCTTGCCAAGAAGCACATTATTATGTCTGGATATATGGGAGATACAGTATATACTCACTTCCTGTAAGTTCGGATAACTAAATGTTTGCATAGCTCATTGTTGGTTAGTTCTTACTATAGGGGGGTGAATCTTTGGGTTTTTCTGTTATTGGTCTACATGTAAATATACTTTTGTATTGATACTTTTAATTCAATAGCTTCTCAAATGGTAGCACATAGCAGGGAAGGTAATTTTATTTAGGGTCTGTATTTAACTTTATTTTGAATATGAAATTTTGGTTTTTTGGATGGTCTAAATCATTCAGCTTTGTACATTGAGGTTAGAGCAAAGTTCCAGTATTTGTTATTCTCAGAGGCACAAACATCTGTTCGAGTATACAGAAACTATAAATAAGGGCTGTATATAAAATCTTCAAAATGATGCTTTGCAGTAAATGAAAATTAATTTTTCGCATCTATAAGCCAATGTAATTTTAAAAGTAATTTTTAAAAGTATTTTTTTAAGTAATTAAGTATTTTTTTAAGTATTTTTTTTTTAAAGTAATTTTTAAAAGTATTAAGTACTCATGATTATTGCATGTTTTCTTTGGAGGGGAAATTCTCGTGCATCTTTAAATGGTAGGTCAAATTTCATTAAACCTTTCTTCTTTATTAGCTCAAGTTTTACTTGTGGGTTAGCTGGAGCCCTTGCATCCAACCCAATCGATGTTGTAAGAACACGCATGATGAACCAGAGAAGCCAAAATGGGGGATACTCAAACTACAAGGGTACTTTAGATTGCTTGTTACAAGTAAGTAGTTAATGTATCCTAAGTAGGAACTAGTGCTGTCAAGCAATGATTTTGGTGTAGAACTTGCAACTGTTTTGAGTTGCCCTATAAATTAATCCAAGTAACTTAATTTTTTTTTTTTTGCCCTTATGCTCAAAAGAATTTGCTTTGAAAGTATCTTCTGTCTTGACAGAAGGCAGGAAAAATAGGTACTGCAAGCACCTTTTCGTGCTTGGATGAGGAGATGAAGTCTGTCAGCAGCACTTTCTCTTCATACAATGTTAGGATATTGATAAGAAATTGTCATTTCATAGGTCAGTTTTTGAAAAACACAGTCTTCTGGGGCAGATGGTTTCCTTTGTTGCTTGCTGCATAATCAAAAGCCTAGTACAGCCAAAGGCAATGTCAGTCTCTCATTTTGATTGTTTTGACTTGGTTTATTCAATCCCTAAATTTGCTATGAAGTGGGAGCATGATGGCCGTTTACATGGAGAGAAGTGGCTAGGTAAGCACTGGTGTCCAATGTGAGCTGCAGGTTTCCATGCAGCTCTCTGCAATGTTTTTGGGAAGAAAAAAATAATACAGGAAGGCAATTTGGATGAGCCTGGGTTGGCTACTGAATGGCAGACTGCATCTTTACCTGTCAGGTAATGCTGCAGGTATTACTAATCTTGGCTTTATCAAGTTAAATATTTCTGTCCTGTCATACAATATGTCTAAATCCACCTTACAGCCATTGCCTTGTCTGGTATAGAGTCTTGTTAGCTGAGATACTGTGTAGATTGCTCACTGGTAAAGTATTACATGAAATGTGTTCTTGCTGTGTTTGTTTTTTTCCAGACATGGAAGAACGAAGGCTTTTTTGCTCTATATAAAGGTTTTTGGCCAAACTGGTTAAGACTTGGTCCTTGGAATATCATTGTATCCTTTTCAAAGATGTGCAAAGCTAGTCATACAACAGCAGCTCTTAACAGGTATTTCACAGAATGCTCAGTGTTGAAAGTGTCAGGTCAGCACAAATATTCCCTTTTTATGAATGGAAAATTGGATTGTTGGCCATTTTCTTAGCCAACTGCTGCAGATTAATATTCACTGTGTGAATCACAGATTCAGAATGTGATCTTGCAAAGCATATTTCTGTTCCTCTAATTTCCTGTCCATTTTCTTAGTTTGGAGCCTAGTTAAATTGACTACGTAAGTTCAGAATGGGGGCTATTTTCAGATCTGGGGAATGTGTTGGCAGTTAGCCATGAAATCTTTTTGTTTATCTTAGTCCCACACAATACTGGTTTTGTTTCAAGAGCCAGATGATCAGAGCTTTGGAAGCAGATTGGTAGTAATGCTTGGTGCTTTTTTTTTTTTACCGTGAGCAAACCTACTTCAGCCCATCAAAGCTAAGTAAGTAAAGACTCTTTAGGGCTTTTGCAGTGTTCTTCTGCCTCCTCAGTCCTGTGTTTAAGATTGTGAGGAATAGGAGTGGGAAAGTAATTGGCATCACTATCTTTAAAAGAAGTTTCATTGTTCTGCCTAGTAATGCATAACAAAAATGGCCAACCAGCAGCATTGCACAGAATGGAGAAAAGAGTGGAACTAAGCTTCACACAGGTGCTGCTGTCCTTTAATAGTGAAGGGACCATTTTGTACTGTGAGAACAGTTTTCCTTAATCAGCTGTTCCAGTTCTTTTTGACCTATGAGCAGCTGAAGAAATTAGATTTCTGACCGGCTGAACCGTAAACTGAATTCTGTTGATGTACCGTTTGAGTTTAGAGCAACTTGTAAGTTGTCTCGAGTATCAGCTCTTTATTCTCCAAGATGCAGGCCAAAGGAAGCAGACACTACAGAACTATTGTGAATGTGAACAGCCTGGAGGTGATTTCAAGGCAAACTGGCTTCTGTAACAATGGCTTCATCAAGTGATGCAGAAGACAATGTGCACTATTTTCTGGACTGAACCAAGCATGGTGGGATGCCTTCTGTCAACTGCCTAAGTGTTCTTGAATGTGAAGACCTGTAATGCAACTTTATGCTGTTGATATTCAGATGTTCAGTGTTTTCTAAAAGGCAAAGATAAAACCTTTGAAAAGGAAGATGGGTAGTACCAAGGACTTGGGCTTCTCCTGTTTTCACAAGTGTATACAACTTGACTGCAATGGCTTATAGTTTCCAGTTAACTGAAAATGTCACAAGACATCTTTGCAGGCCTTTAGTTCACCAAAATACCTGCTGCCGTACAAAACTTGCTTCTGTTTTTTCAGACCTGTATTTTGTGTCCTTAAATGCCTGCATAGTTTGCTGGGGATAATCCAGTTTAATTTGGAAGTGTGGTTGCTACAGTTGGCAGTTTTTCATAGCTTGAGGAAAGCTTTTTCCAAATGTGTCATTCTTGGTTTTCAATGTAAGTGATTCTTCAACATATTTATATGTAAATTGCCATAAGGAATGAAGTTCAAACAAGTCTGTGCTTACCTATTTTTGGAGAGAAACTTTCCATGCTTCTTCCATTGCTGGGAAGAATGACTTGTAATAGTTCTTGGCTGTCAGATATCACCTGGAAGGTGCAAGTTTTACACTGAGCAGTTCAAGCTGTGTCATGTAAGTGCCTGTGTACAAAGAACCAAACTCCTCCAGCTCTCAAAACAGCTTTCCTCTTTAAAGACACCCAAACCCAGAACTGCTGAGCACTTTGAGGAAACAGGCTCAAGTTGCTGTTACATGCAAGTGGGCACTTCATGTAGAAACCAGCCACAACTTTCTTAAAGCATTACCTTTTTGGGTTAAGTGTGTACCAGAACTTCAGAGCCATTCACTCAGCAGCAAGGTCAAGGTTCTTACAAATGCTGCTTCCTTTCAAGAAAGGAAGCTTGTGAGATGCAAGTCCAAATGGTCCTTTTGTACTAGTCCAAATGGTCCTTTTGTACTGGCAGAGGGTAGCAAAGCAATTTTGCATTTCTGTGGCATTCTCTTAGTCTCTTAAACGTTTTTGGTTAGTCATACATTCCACTTAAAGAAATTTCATTGCAATTTCAAAATTACAACAATCCCATAGAATTAATTTTGAATTCACGAATGGATTTTTAAATGCACAAGGCACTTTCTTTCCTTAAGGCATGATGTTTTTCTATATATATGGATATGCTTATGTGCAGTTGTTTTCCTTGCAGCTGTTTCTATACTTTAATAGAAATATTTGTAAATATTTTTGTACACTTTGTAGACTAAGTGTATGTTTTACATTTTTAAGCTTATAAAAAGTTTTAAAACCATTATGTAATGACTGAACTGCTTTCAGTTTCTGTGTTTCAAGGAGGGGGGTGGAGATGGGTGATGGATTTTGGAATATAGGAAGCAGTTGCTGGCATTGAGCTACATGATGTAATGGGTTATTTAGCCAAGGCCAACTAGAGTTGCTGTTGTTACAAGCTCATGTTCCTGTAACTTCCTGCCTGGATAATGTGCATGACCCACGTGTTTTCACTGGTTTTGGTGTATCTTGAACTGCATGACCACTTCCCCCTGGGATCTGTTCCAGACCACAGTTTTCATAACCAGCTTAGTTTTGTGTAGCAGCAAAATCTTCATTGTTCAGATAACTGACTAGACTGAGATAACATGACACCTGTAACCAGGATGGATTTCTAGTGTTCAGGGGTGGTAGCATGTGATGGCTGCAACTCTGAGGGGTTGAGGAACCTGCCAGTTTGGAGCAGTGGGGTGGGAGTACTCTGCAGCACTTCCTCTGTGGAGTGGCTGTGGAGAGGGACAGATGGACAAGATAGACTCGAAGTGACTGCTAAGCACTAAAGGCATCGAAACAGTGAAAGGGCAACTAACTGGATCCCAGCTGAAGGTGAGGGCTGCAGTGGATATACCTTAAGCTGTTGTCCAGTTCTGATTCAGAATTGCCTTAGTTGGGTTTTATCGTGTAATGATAGAAGATCTAAGTTTGCAAAAACTACTAACAAAGGGTATTCCCAAAGGAAAGAGTAAATCCTGCAGCAGGCTGTGAGGCATGGTGGAAAATGCAGCTTGGCTAAGGGCTGAATCTGGAAAAAATAGAGTGGCTCAGGGCTGAGGAGTGTGGTGGTGCTGTAAGGCTGTGTGCCCTGACAGCCAGGGAGGGCTGGCTGCTTCACCTCACCGGGGCTCCTGCTCCTCATTCTCCATCTCACGAGAGTCTCGGTGCTCAGATCAGGTGCGACTGGGTCAAAACCACCGCGGCAGCAGCGCGTCTGCGTTATTGTCACAAACGCAGAGAGCCGCTGCAGCGGGAGGCGCCCCAGCCGCCAGGAGAGGGGCAGAGCCGGGGCAGAGCGGGGGCAGAGCCGGGGCAGAG